GGAATTAGTTGTGTTATTTCAACAATTAGGGTACCTGTATTATTGAATTGGGAAGTGGTGGCGATTTGTGGCTCAATTGCGGGCCAAAGTTGGAACAATGGTGGCGATTTGGTGCGGTGGTGGCGATTTGGTGCGATTGGTGGCAATTTGGTGCGATTTGGTGTGTGTGGGTTAACATGGACAGTTTTGCACGAATTTGGTGGCGATTTTGTGGTGCTTGGTGGCTCAATTGCAGGCTGTAGGTGGAACAGTGGGCGGTGGTGGCGATTTGGAACGAAGGAGGCAGTGGCGGAACTAAGGGGGGGCTGGCGAACAGAATGAATGGTTTTTCAGGGGGTTGGGGGGAAGGGGAGGGGTGGTTTTCGGTGTTGCTGGAAAAGGAGATAGGTGATTTGCTAGAAAAGGTGGAGCAATGGTGGTGGTGGTGATTGGGAATAAGAAAGAAAGAAGGTAGGAAGAAGAAGAGTGAAAAATCGGGGAGAGAGAGTGAGAAATCCGTAAAATAGAAGAAAAAAAAGGAAAAAAATAAAAAAAGTGGGGCCCACAGACGGAAATTCCACCGGAAATTCTAAATGGGTGGCAATCTGAGCGTTTTTTTAAATTAGTGGGTGGTATTTTACAATATTTTTTTTTTGGGTGGTTATATCAAAATAGGTATATTTTGTGGGTGGTAATTTGCAAATTTTCCTAAAAAAAAATCAACCCACCCACCTACGCAACCTAGCCCAACCCTCTAGCATCCCCACCCTCCACCATTAGGCAGCCCCATCAACACCACCCTACGCCGACGCCCAACCTAGACCCCGCCAGCCCGCCGCCCCTCCCCAACACCTGTCGTCGCCCCTCCTCGTCCCTCGTAACCACCATCCTCGAAACCCCCAATTACCCTTCCTACCTAGGGATGTCAGTGGGGTGGGTCAATTAGGAGACTTGCCCCAATGGGGTGAGGATGGATCCTGGTTTGGCAGGTGGTGGGGGCGGGGATGGGGATAAAACCATACCCTCCATGGGTGATGTGTGAAACCCCGTATTTTTATATGCTTTATAAATTAATTTATTACTTTATAAACTTATTTTATTAATTAGAAAAGAATTATTCCATTTTATTTTTGATACTTAAAGGTTGAATTTAATAAAAACTCAGCAATTAATTTATTTAAATAATTTTAGAAACATTTTATTTATATTTAAACTTTGAGGCAATTATTTAATTTAAAAAGGAATTTTAGAGTCAACGGGATAGAAATTAAGTCAACATCCTAATTTTAGTGGGAGAAAGATTCATTAAGAGCAAATAGGGAAAGAGAGTAGGAAGGAGAGTTTTGGGGAGAGGTATAAATACCCACCTCAAGGCAAAAATCAGATATTTGCCCAAAGGTAGAGATACCTCAAGGTAAATTCTCTCTCTTTCCTCTATTTCCCCCCGGCATAAATTAGAGAAAAGAGGGGAGAAAAGTGGAAAATATGTGTTTTAGAGCTCAAATGATCCCAAAAATAGGTTAAGGAGAGGGGACTTGAGAGACATAAATGTCATGTATCAAATTCCTCCAAGTTAGAGTGATTTCTTGTCCTCAAGCTCTTTACCTCAACAAGGATAATTCAAAAAGTTAGTCCCCTCAAGGAAAAGCACATGCAAAGATACAAGAATCTTAGAGTAATAAAACTCGCGCATGAGGTATATGTTTAAGATCAACCACGATCATGACAAGCCAAGGCCTAGCTAGCCTCCTCGAAAAGTACTCAACTTTGGCCTATTCAACCAATATCACCGCGTCTCCAAGACAAAGCAAATCCCCCCTAACGGTAGCATCTCAAGACTCCTCGAAGGAGGCGGAAGAAAAATAGATAAAAGATAGTTTAAAACATTCGACATCTTAATTTTAAGTACGCTCTCCATATGCTTTTGAACCAACTCTCTCCATCGACAATGACTTCAACTACTCTTACTACCACTACACAAAATTTGAAGATTCCGACACAAAGTTAAGGCAAAGAAAAAACTAGAACTGTTTGCATTTGAAGTTAAGCAAAGATGTAATACATTAAGAGAAAATCTAAGGAGAGTTCTAACTTTTACTCAAATTACAAACCAAGCTAATTAAAATTAGTTTTGATACAAAAATGCACTCCCAAACTTGTTTATTTGCTAGGGTGGTGGTGGCTGAGCCAGGATTTTCATCGAGGAAAGACAGATTAAGGAAGTCGTTCTATAATTTGACAAAAACCCTTAGACAATTTAATTTAAAATGAGGAATTACAACCAATAATTTGGGTTTGTAATTTGACCGGTTGCTTAAAAAACTATGTAAATTGCTAAGGTAATTTTAAAGTTTGAACATGATTTCATTAAATAATACTTTTACTATTTCTAGTTGAATCAATGGGGGATACGGGCTGGGAAAAGAACAATTCTTTTTGGATGTTATATAAGAGAGGTAATTTTGAAATAGAGAAAAGGAAAAAAAAAAAAGCCTAGTTAGAGGGATAGAACCCAAGACCTCAAAATAACAATTGTAATCACTTTAACCACTAGACCACCACTTCTTCTTTATCATTATTCTACACACAAATTGCTTATAACTTTTTTCACTTCTTAAAAAGTGGGGGACAACTGTCCCCCCTTGTACCCACCTGGCTCCGCCAGTGGTGGCTATTAACTTATTCTATTCTTTACTCCTTTTTTTTTCCACATTTTTTTAGAGGAAACTTTTAATATACATTACAAACTACTAATTACAATAAACAAGGACTAGAAATAAAGAAACTAAGAATCGGATGCCTTAGTAACTTGTTATTTAATTACCGACTAAGAGTAGTTTAGTCCGTGATCTTGCATGGGAGTTGGAACTTAAGTTCTCGAATCTTGATCTAGGTACTTAATAAAAAAGGATCCTTGTCACTCATTCAAAATGTAATTAATAAAACCTCACTTTTGGGAACAATGTGGGATCAATTACTACCTTTCAGATTTCAATTTTCTTTGAGATGGGCGACACCTTCTTACCACAAACCTAGACATTAGGTCTCGTATCTTCGGTAAAGTTATTTCACACTAGCCAAAACTAGCCAATTTTATGTTCAAATAAGGGTATCTAAACCATGCTCAAAATTTTGGACCATCATGCCACTTTAGTTAGCTTCCAAATTAAAATTTTAAGTTATTAAAAGCATTAACCAAGTTAAGATTTGCCCCATGTGTCCCTACCTAATTCTTCCTCCTCCATACTTAAGTTCCTATCCCCATCCGATATGAAAGGGGACTTTCAAGGGTTCCTAATTCTCAGGTTAATTCTAGTAAATTTGCATTGGTTTGTAATCAGACAAAAAAAAAAAAAAAAAAAAAAAAAAACAAAAAAAAGAGAAAGAGAAAAGGGTTTAGGAGAAAGGGAGAAGCATTAAGGATGGAATTTGTAAGGGTTTGTAATAATTAAATTTTAAAAAAAAAAAAGGTTTGGGAAAAAGATAATATAGTCGTTCTATACACTAGTTTCTTCTCAAAAAATTGACAACTGCCACTAATATTGATGATGTAACCGAATATCCTTCATCTCTAATAGAGTATTATCGCTGTTATGTTTTCCACCAATCTCATTTGATTATGTCCTACAAGGTCATGCTTTATTCTCCTACACCTATTAATCTTATTGATTATGTAGATTTTGTCAATTTAAGAACGTGATTCTTATCGTTAGCGCCGAACCTAACATATTTTATAAGTGGTTACAAAATATTTAAAATTAACTTTGAATCAAATAAAATAAATTTGTTGATATAAATCATTAAAGAAAACATTTAAATGCATTTTCCTAATGACTTACAAAACCAATATAATTCAGTGAGAAACAAAAATGTATTTCGTTATGAAATAATTACGAGTATTATTTTTTTTATATATATATATATATATATATATATATATATATATATATATATATATATACACACACACATATATATATATACACACACACATATACATACACACACATACACACACACACACACACACACACACACATATATATATATAGGCTAAAATGAGAACTAGGAACTAATCTAGGTCCTTAGATCATGTTAATTGGACGGTCCACATGTTTCCCGTGTCATTAATGGCATTTTCGTAATATTTCAACTTTACAAAATAGTTTCTTGTTTCATTTCTAAAATGTAAATGAAATATTAGTAAAGGTAAATGAAATCAGTAAATGATATTGCCTTAAAAATAAAAAAACCCGGAAAAAATTTGAAAACTGCAAAATTACGAAAATGCCATTAATGAGGGCGGATGAAACATATGATTAATATTGTAACTCTAATTTTTTTTTTCTATAGTAAAATACTCGCGCGGGGGGGGGGGGGGGGGGAGGTCCCCACCTTATCACAAGAATGGGGGGATGATGATCGAATCCCCATCCACTTGGGGGGAGTGGAAATGGAGGGACTAACCATCCCTCCATCTCCTATATCCTCAACTCTATATATATATATATATATATATATATATATATATATATATATATATATATATATATATATTTTGACTTTTACCACAAAAAAATATTGTTTCTTTATCACCAAAACTTCTAAAACTTTTAATTTACCACAAAAAAAAAATGTTTTTTACCACATGCCGTCAAAAAATCTGGTAAACCTAACGGAATTTTTTAAATTGTTCGATTTTCGTGCCAAAAACATGTTCTTTAGGAGTTTTGGGGGCATTTTGGCCCTTTAGATCCAGTTTGTGGTCAGAATTGAAAAAAAAAAGATCATAAATGGCTCATCTTTCTACTAAAAATACTTCGATTTGCGTGAAACATGCAAAATGAGGCAGTTTAGATCAATTTTTGTTAATTCTAATATCAAATTGGACCCATAGGACCAAAATGCCCCCCTAAACTTATAAAGAACATATTTTTCGCACGAAAATTGAAGAATTTTTTTTTATCACCGTTAGATTTAACGGTTTTCTTGACAGTAGGTGATGCAAAACAATTTTTAGAAACTTTTTTGGTGGTAAATTAAAAGTTTTAGAAATTTTGACGGTAAAAAATATTTTTTTGTTTTTTTTTTGTTTGTGGTAAAAGTAAAAAAAAAAAAATCCTATATATACCAAATTTAAGCTTGTGTAATCCATTAGTTTTATTTTTTATGCATTAATAAATTATGTGAAATTATTTATAAAATAACAAACGACATGTAACACTACAAAAATTAGATTCAATAACGACAATGTATTAATGACGGGCTTAAGCCCCGTCTTTATATGAGGCTTTTAACGACATGATATTTGACCCGTCGTCATAAACACTTACCGAACTTAAAACCTAGCTCAATAATTCACTTAACTTGATAAACAAAAATACCAAACCCAACTTTTTCTCTCCTCTCCATTTTGTCATTTTGTCATTTCTTCATCTCTTAGATTACCAGGGTTTAATGGCTGATTTTCCAACTTACGATGTCTATTGTTGAGTTTGATTGCTAAAATCATCCATTTCAATGTGAGTATAATCTAATTTCTTCTCCAATATCGAATTTTCTTTTATTTTCGTTGAGTTTGAATGTTATGAAATGACCTAGAATTTCATTTTTGATTGCAAATTTATGAATTTACCATTGAGTATACTGTGATATAACCTAGATAATGTCTGTCTAAAATGGATTTGATGGATTATTAGTTCGTTTCAATGCACACTGTTTATTAGGGTTAACGATGGAATTAATTTTGTTTTCTAGGGTTTATTTTTTTGTCGAAATTGGCTAAATAAATGTAGATATGAAATTTATAGATTTGAATTTAATGTGTGTAAATTACAAATTTATGATTTTTTTATACTGTATGTATTTGTTTGATTGACTTTACTAGTGACTTTATCAGTGAAAATTCAGCATATATATCAATTTAGGATAGATCTTAGTGCTCTAAATTTCTGCAATTCAATCGATTGAGAATCTTATCAAAAGTGAATATGGAAATATAATGCTGTAACAAGTTTCTTCTTTTTTCTGTATATTCTAATGACTCAAGGAGCTTTAGTTAGATTATATGTCTAGTCATTTATTCAGTTAGATTATATGTCTAGTCATTTAGTGTATATATTACATGCCTTTTGCCTGAATAAGTGTACAAACTTATATATAACTCATTTTGGACAGCTTATATAAAACTCATTTTGGATAGAATTTGTCTTTGTCTTAGATTTTGATGAATTGTGTTCGTATTTCATTTTACCAAATTTGTTTATTGTTTGTCTTGTGCCTATGTGAACAAGTATTTGTCTTGCATTAACTTTGCCCCCCTTGTTCTCTTTTTAGAGTGAGTTTATTTTATTTCTTCCTTTCCTCTCCATTTCATATTTCCTCATGATATTAAATACAGAAAATACTTTACTTTCTAAAATTTATACGATGGATAAAAATCGGTTTTTTCACCATTTACCCTTGAGTTTTTTTTTTTTTTTTTTTTTTTTGTTTTTTTTTTAATTTATTCACGATATACACTTGAACTATTTTAAATTCATCATATACCCTTGAGTTTTCACAAAAATATACCATACACAAGATGACTAATAATTGTTAACTTCGTTAGTCATTAGGGTTAATTATGACCCGAAACCACCCTAAATACATTTCCCTACCCCCGAAACCACCCACATTCCTTTTTCCCACCCCCAAAACCACCCTAAATTTCCTTTTTCATCCTCAAAATCAATCGTACAGATATGGTTATGGAGATTTGGAGTGGTTTCGGGGGTTAGAGGAATGGTTTCGGGGACCGGGGGGGGGGGGGAGATCTAAGGAGTTTTTGATGCATAATTAACCAAATTCCACTCATCTTGTTGTCATTAGGGGTATATGGTGAATTTTTGTAACAACTTAGAAGTATATGGTGAATTTGAAATTTTTCTGACTTATATGGTGAATAAAAAAAAAAAAACTCAGGGGTATATGGTGAATAAACTAAAATGGGACGATACTGGATGCACTTGGATGATAGGTTCAGTAAAGCATATGCAGATGGAGTTTTGGGGTTTCTAGAGTATACCTTTTCCAAAACCAAAGGTTGTCATCTTATCGCATGCCCATGTAATGAATGGAAAAATGATTCCCATTTTGATAGGAAGACAATGGGTAATCATTTGGTTATATATGGGATGGATAAGGGTTACATGACTTGGTATTTTCACGGGAAAGGCTTAGTAGATGTGGAACTTAAAAAAGATGAGGATACCAATGAATTAGTTGTTGAGGATGATGATGAGGTCGAAGAAATGTTAAGTGACATGTTTCCTTATATTGTTCAAATGGAGGAGATGAAAAGAGAAGAAGAGCCAAATGACTATGCAAAAACCTTCTATAAGTTGCTTCAAGACAATGAGCTACAATATATGAAGGCTCTAAGTGCTCGAAATTATCGACATTGGTAAAATTGTTGCACATCAAAAGTCTTGGTGGTTGGAGCAATGAATCCATTAGTATGTTGCTTGATTTCATGAAGAAGGAACTTCTCCCTTCGGACTCTTGTCTGCCAGATTCATATTATGAAGCAAAAAAGGTGATTCGAATCCTGAGTTATCATACAAGAAAATAGACGCTTGCCTAAACCATTGTATGTTGTACTGGAATGATGATGCAAATGAAGAGTGTTGCAGAATTTGCAAGAAATCTAGATGGAAAGAAGCTAATCGAAGTGGAGAACATAAGTTTGGAAAGAGTGGTAAAAAAAGTACCTACAAAGAGATTAAGGTACTTTCCACTAAATCCAAGGCTTCAGAGATTGTTCATGTGTAGCAAGATAGCTTCATTGATGAGTTGGCATCATGGAAAGGATGTTGATACTAATGTGGCACTTCATCCTTCAAATTCAAAGGCATGGAAATCTTTTTATGAATTGCATCCAACCTTTGCTTTAGAGCCTTGTAATGTTAGGCTTGGTCTTGCTAGTGATGGCTTCCAAGCTTATAGCAATTTACGGACTTCGTATAGCCACATTTGGCCTGTTGTGCTTATCCCATATAATTTGCCTCCCCATTTGTGCATGAAATAAACTAATTTTATCCTCTCCAGATGGTCCAGGAGATGCCATAGATACCTACTTGCAGCCACTTGTGGAGGAGTCAAAGGAGTTATGGGAAGTAGGTGTTCAAACCTATGATGCTTCTAAGAAGCAAAATTTCACAATGCATTCAGCTTTATTATGGACCATTAATGATTTTCTCGCCTATGCCAATTTGTCCGAGTCGAGCACAAAGGGAAAATTGGCTTGCCCTTCATGTCATAAGGAAACTTGCCATATGCAATGTGGCAGCAAGGAATGTTATGTTGGTCATTGATGCTTTCTTTCTTATGATCATCCATTGAGGCATGATGAAGAAATATTTTGTGATGATAAAGGTCATGATTTTGCACCAAAACCCTTAAGTGGGGATGATGTTCTCAGTCAAGTTAAGGACTTAGAAGGCATTCATTTGACCAAAGACACTGATGTGAAGGTCTCAATATCACATGAAAAGAGAGGTGATAAATGGAATAAAAAGAGTGTACTATTTGAGTTGCCATATTAAAAAACCCTTTTGTTAAGGCATAACTTGGATGTGATGCACATTATTGGAAAAAAAATATGTGATAATTTCCTAAATACCATCATGGATGTAAAAGGAAATAAAAAAGATACTTTCAAACGTCGTGAAGATTTGAAAAATATGAACATCATGCTACATTTACATCCCATTGATATAGGAGATGATAAATTTTTGGTTCCACTTGGAGGATACACACTTCCTTTACACAGTGCCGGGGCTAAAATTGCAAATTATTTATGGGGCCTTGTTCAACTTTTCAAAATGGGGCCTTCTACTCGATAAATTTAATACCCAATTTTTATTTGATAAAAAAATTCATTACATCAGAAAATTCGTCAAAATTAAATTAAAATCCTAGAAATCACTTAAAAAGAGTAGCTCTTTTTGCATGTTTTATAGCAAAATCATCGATAACATTCTCTATATCGATTTCATCTAAAAGATCAGATTCAATTGCCATCAAAGCAAGTCCATTTAATCTTTCTTGTGACATGGTCGTCCTTAAGTACGATTTCAGCAACTTTAACTTTGAAAAACTCCGTTCTGCAGAAGCAACAGTTACAGGAATTGTTCATAATATCCTATATGCAATTGTTGCATTTGGGAAGCAAGTATATCGTTTTAAAAAATTTAATAAATCAATTGCTCCCATTTTTCTCCTTAGGTAAGAACTCTCTGAACCATGTTAACTCAAAAAATAAATCCTCTCCATCAACATCAGAAACCTCACCTTTCTTAAAAGTATTTTCAAAATTCAAATAACAAGATAAAAGTTTCTCATCATCCATTGAATGCAATTTATTAGAATTGAACAAAAAGCCAAAGATATTCTCATACGATTCATATTGTTCAAACCTTTATTCCAATGATGCAATAGTTTGATCCACAATGTATATAAAATATTGGATCTAAATGATTCCTTAGGAGATAATAGTGTTTCATCAACATCTATTTCATCAAATTGTCTTTTTCTACGTACTATACGTCTTTGAGGAAATATAGGATCAATTCCAATTTCAATAGCTAATTTTTTTGCAATATCCATGGCCTTTGAAAAACCATTCTCTCTATATTTTTTAAAAAAGGAAATCAATCCTTTAATCTCACTAATGGCAATATCAATCAGCATATCCTGGGATTGTAATTGTTTACTAACAAAGTTTACAGCACATAAAATTTCATACCAAATGATTGCAGCAAACAAAAATTCATAACTACCAAGCTCATTATTTGCTAAAGATCTAGCTTCACTTTAAAGTTTATGGTCATTGTCAGCATCAGCTACTTCAAGTCATGCTTCACGTATCTCAGTTATTTGAAATCTAATTGCTTTGATACTTTCAACACGAGTTTCCCATCGGGTGGCAGATAATGATTTAAGAGGAAAACCTTTAATATTTTCTTTACAAAAATGCCATCTCTTAGTAGAACTAACAAATATAGTATAAATGCGTTGGACTATTCCAAAGAATTCCCTTGCTTTAGGTGAAGCATTTGCAATGTCACACAAAACTAAATTAAGACTATGACAGCCACATGGAGAATAAAAAGCTCTAGGATTTAAATCCAATAGTCTCTTTTTCACACCTTGATGTTTACCTTCCGTGTTAGAACCATTATCATATCCTTGTCCCCTAATATTATCTATGTCAAGATCATGAGCTATTAACACATTTTCTAACACTTTAAACAGTTCTAAACCAGTAGTATCATTAACCTGTAAGAACTCAAAGAAAAATTCTTTAACCTTATAAGAATTTGAACATTTATCAACACACCTTAAAATTAAAGTCATTTGTTCTTGATGACTAGCATCAGGTGTACAATCAAACATCACAGAAAAATATTTTACTTCTTTTATTTTTTTCATAATAGCATCATTGATTTTAGAAGCAAGTAAGAGTACCAATTCATTTTGAATATCATGGCTAAGATAGTAATGATGAATAATTCCATTCTCAATACGATGAACATGCTCAATAATCACAGGATCAAACTCAGCCAACATTTCAACAAACCTAAAAAATTTCCATTGCTACTTTGATATAACCTTTCGTGTTTCCCACGAAATGCAAGGTTATTTTTACCAAGAAACTTCACAATAGCAATTATTCTAATAATGACACTTTTCCAATACTCTTTTTCTTTTTGAAATTGGTATTGGGCAACTTTGTCTATTGTTTCATTATTTTTCAATCTATTTCTTAATTCACACCAAGCAGCCATGTTCAAAACGTGATCAACACTTGTTTCATGTTCTTTAAGCCTATGACTAATATGTGACCAATCATTATATCCTTCATTAACCAAATTGCCTTTTCCATGACCCTTTTGGAAGATTTTACAGCAAAAACAAAATACTTTGTCAATTTCTTTAAAATAAACAAGCCAATCTCTATCACATGTTTTACCATTAGGCAAATATCTAGTATACAAATTTGAAGTAAATCTCCTAGATACTTTTTCTTTAGGGCCCTTTACTATGGTTAAGTCTCTTTTAGGGCCATTGATAGCCAAAATATCAATCAACTTTTGATCAAGAGCTCCCCATATCCTTGGATCATATATATCATGAGAAACTAAATCATTTTCTTCAACATTGTGAATATTATGGTCTGAATTTTCTTCCACATTTTGTTCAAAATCATCTACATTATTCAGATTCACATCTTCTTGCTCAACATTAATATTATTATCATCAACATTAACATTGGCATTATTCGCATCTACATTATCATTATCAACATTAACATTATCACCACGAACATTATTTTCATCTAACAACTCTGAGTTAATAGGATTTTCACTTGATTGTGACACTTTTAAAAAAAACTTATCTAAAGCACCTTTTTGTGATTGAATGAATTGATCTTCCTTCTTTTTCTTATTGCGTTTTTCATGTCCTGATGGATACTTTCGAAACATATTAAACATAATTGCACAAAATATTTGATAGAGAGGAAAAATATCACCAAAAATAGCTTGTAATAAGCTAACGATTGAATTCGACAGATCCGAGATCGCTAATTGCTATGTATAATCCAATATTCCATCATCAGTCTCTGTAATCTGTGTAAAAAAAATTAAAAAAAAACCTATCTGTAATTAAAAATAAAATTAAATGAGCAAATGAAAAAATAAACAACAAATTCCACAGTAACCTACACGAGCCATTTCAATTTCAACAAAATTCAACGGAATTATTAACCTCAAAATTAAACAATAATGCACTAAAAATTCCCTAGAAAAAAAAGTAAAAAAAAACAAAAAAATTAAACTTGTTAACCTGTTTTAAATTGCAGAAGCCTTCGTACACAGCAACTCAGCAAGCGTCAAATCAAATAAAATACAAATCAATTGCAGAAGCCTTCGTACATAGCAACTCAGCAAGCGTCGATTGTTCTTCTGCTCCCACCCACAAAATTCAACAAAAAAAAGTTAATAAAAAAAAAATGCACTTCAATTAAACAACAGGAAATAATTCAACATAACCAAATATTAAAATTTAACAAAAAGTCGTATCCGGTGTTGAATCCGAAGAGGTTTGTGATGAAATTTTTTCCTATTACTAGCTATAGCCTATACTCACAATACTTGCAAAGAATTTTGGAATTAAGATTATCTTAAAGATTTCTTTTTTATTAGTAAAATTGAAAGAGTGAATAAAATGCATATATAGGAAAATTTAGGAGATTAACAACGGTTTTTAAATTAATTTCATCTTAAATTGAAGATTTAACCATTGAAATTATGAATTAATATGGGAAAAATAATTTTGGGAGATGAAAAAATTTAAAAATTAATTGAATAATTGAAGAAAATGAAGATAATAATAGAAAGTAAATAAGAAAATATAGAGTTTTGGAAGATATAGAGTTTTTTTTGGGAATTAGAATAGTAGATTGAAATTTTTTTGGGAAGAAAGATATCTGAATTTTTGGGAAAATTTTTTGGGAATTAGAATGGTTTGCTGGTTTGGGCAGAGGTTTCTAGAGGGAGGGAACATTCAATGTAATTGGAGAATTGGAGGTTTCTAGAGGAATATAAATTCGAAGCCAGCTGTCCAACTCCCAAAAAAATTGAAAAATTGTATCATGCATGGCTCGAACCCAAGATCTTGTATACACGGTATAATTGCTCTAACCACTACTCCAACTGCAATTTCTTGATATTATACCAAACTTAATTACATATATCTAGATTTTGGGGCCCCTCAAATTTGGGGCCCTGTTCCGTCGACCACCTCGCTCCGCCCCAGAACCGCCCCTGCCTTTATATAAGAAGAAGATAGTGTGTGAGTTCCTTAAAGCACTCCAAGTATCCGATAGCTTTGCATCTAAAATTTCCATGTGTGTAAATTTGAAGGAGTAAATCCAAGCTTAAAAGTCATAATTGTCACAAAAGTTTAAAAGTGAAGATATGGCACAAGAACATACCTCCCTACAATTAAGCATATGAAGGAAATTTGGAGGAAATGGCGGGGTCAAATGTTTCAATTTCATGTAAAGAATAGGTCTGTAGGAGAGGCAATTAAGAGTGTGCTAAAAAACATGGATAAAAATGATTGGGAATTACTTGTGAGAGTTCACTACACAGTGATAATTACAAGGGAAACTTGTCTAGAACTACCCGCAAGATGGGCCCATTTGTGAACAACTACCCATTTTTTTTATTTGTTTACAACTACCCGCAAGTTTGAAAAAGTTTGGGTAGCACTACCCATTAACGTTTTCCATCCAAAAAATCGTTAGAGGGCCCCATTTTGAAAAAAGAAAAATGAAAAATCAGAAAAAAATGGAAAAAAAAAGAAAAATTAGAAAAAAAAACCCACTACTGGCAACCATGAACTGCCGCCGGCAGCCCCAAAGCCCTAACCCAGCCCCACCGTCGGCACCCCCAGCCACCGAAAAACCCACCGGAGCCGACCTTAAAGCAACCTAGCCACCGAAAAACACTCCTAACCCATCCTTGAAACACCCCATCCATCGAACAACCACTGAAAAACACCCCAAAACCCTAATATGGTCCCGGAACCCCAGCCACCAGCCTCCACCACCTCGAAACCCCACCCCCTTCTCTCTCGCTGCCATTTCTCCGTCGATGCTGGCCCCCCTCCCCTTCCCCTCCTCTTCCCAAACACACAAAAATGCCACTGAAGCTCCATTGAAACTCACGCATGAAAGCTTGAGGAACATCATTTCTTCACCAAATTTTATTAAACTTGTACCAAAATGTTCACAATTCAACATACAATCAATTAGAGCAAACAATTTTGTGAATTGCTTCACCAAACAAAAAACCCCAATTTAATTTTTTTAGGGTTCTTCACAAAAATTGGTGGTGATTGGTGTTTAGGTTGGTGGTGATGGTGGTTGTTTGGTGTTGTGGGCTGTGGGTTTTCTAGTGAGAGGGGAATGGGGTTGCTGGGTTCCGGTGGCCGGTGGGTAGTGGGGATGGGGTGGTAAGGGAAGGAGGGTGGGGTTAGGTTGGATTTTCTGATTTTTATTTGATTCAATAAATAATTGACACATGTACAATGTGGGGCCCACTAACGGTTTTTTGGATGGAAAACGTTAATGGGTAGTGCTACCCAAACTTTTTCAAACTTGTGGGTAGTGTAAACAAATAAAAAAAAAATGGGTAGTTGTTCACAAATAGGTCTATCTTGCGGGTAGTTCTAGACAATTTTCCCTAATTACAAGGCATGCATGCATTACAACAAATTACTTCATACTTTGCCTTTTTCTGCTTTTTTAATGATTTGATTTTAATGCTTGCATCATAGAAAGTTTGAGGCTAGAATGCTGAGAATAAAAGTGTAGTAACCATGTCGCAACGTACCGAAAGCAAGCCATTTCGACAAATAAAGTATGATATGGTAAGTGCTTGTTCATGCTTTGAATTTTTGAATGGCTATGATGACATTCTCAACAGAGACAACACATATTAATATGATGTATTTGGTTTAAAATCTATAGGGTGGAAGTTCGGGAAATCCTCCAAGTTTTGAGAAGTTTTGATTTGACACCCATAAAACAGGAAATATCTTGGACAAGCCCGAAATAGTGGAAAAATATGTAAGTTTCAAATTGTAACATGCTCATTTTAGATTCCTAAAATAATTATTTAATGCTACTAACTTTATGTGTTTAACTCTTGAAAGGAAAAACTCAAGAAGACCATTCAAGAAAATCCCGAAATGGAGATATTTGATGTCATAGAAGGATGTTTTGGGCGCCAAAATAAAGGATATGTTGCTGGGTATGGTGGTTTTGTCAAGCCTAAGGATCTAAGAGGACCACTACCGAGTAAATTTGACCTCGAAATGAAGTTAAAACAAGTTGAGCAAGTTAACAAAGAGCTATTGGGAAGGCTAGAGCATATGGAAGCAGAGAACGAAACATTCTCTACACATTTAAATGAAGTTGAAGCAAAATTTCAGGCCATGTTGGATGCTTTCAGTGATCAGTGAGGTAAAAAATTATCATTCATGTGATGCTAAATATTTGTACTCTGTGTTTGTTTGGGGGGAAAAAAAACAGAATGTTGTTATTGTTGGTCCCTGTTTTCATATGTGAGGTACTCGTTTCAGTTGAGATTGATGGAGTACTAGCTAGTTGGGTCAAAATTATTGTGCTTGCTTGTTAATGCAGTACATCTTTGGGTTAATGTAGTATATGCCAGTTATACTATCTGATCATGGGTTTGTTTTGGTAGCTCTGTGCTTTTTGTGCATGTCATGTGCAACTCTCATTGCCTAACTACTCGCCTAACTACTCTGTATAGATCGCATTGCCCTAATACTCTAGCTAATATCATTGATCTTAAATCCCAATGCACATTATTTTACTTGACATTGCCTATAGATATTGTTTTGGGGTTTTTTGCGAGATGTCCTACGAGAGAGTTACGTCACCAAGACTGGCTACTCTTTGGCTATACCTGCAGAAAAATGGAAGCTCGGAGTTCCGCCCCCGACGATCAAGTTAGAAACGGTCGAAGTGAAGTAGATGTGCGGGAAGTAAAAGTATCTTCTCGGATCCCGAGATCTGGTGTTTTCTCTGATGTGAGAGAATTGATTGTGATGTAATAAATGAACGTGCCCCCAAATCGGGGTAAATATCCTTATTTATAGGGTCATAGGGATCAGTGCCCCCTTTCCTAGATCACTAACTTTGGTAAATGGGTCGCGCCGTTTTTACAGCGTTCTCGGGATTTGGGCTTTTAAAAGCCGCCTTTTTCCCTAATGATTGGGAGTGCCACGTGTCAACTGGTGATTGGTCCTTTTTTGGGCCTCTCCTGGTGACACGTGGCATGCCATGTGGCGCCTGTGACACTAGTCAGTTTGGCATTTGGTGAACAGTTTTTAACTGTCCACCTCCTGGATTTACCCCTCTATAAATAACGTTTTACCCCTCCTTCCTTTTTGACCTTTTTACAAAGTCTAGAGAGAGAAAACAAAAAATTCTAGAGAGAAAGAGAGAGAGAGAGAGAGAGAGAGAGAAATTCTGATAACTGCTTGAGATTTTCTTTGATAATATCGTTTGATATCACTGCTTGATATAGCCGGTCAACGCTTGACATCTTCCTTTTCACACTCTTGAGGTAACCGTAACTCTTATTCTAAGCTCTTTCATCCTTTTTACCGTTTGTGTATATTACTTTGAATAAATGGATTCACCAATAACACACACGACATAGGCTAGGACAGTAGTCAACCAGTCTCCTGGTACGGCCGAGTCTAGGACTGGGGGTGCCGTCTTTGGGTGTTTGGACCACCCTTGCTCTTCCCCGAATCCGACTGTCTCTGTGTCTATGCAAGAAACTATGGCTCGGACGAAGATGACGACACCTGATCCAGCATATAGAGAATACGGTACATTAGAGGTGTCGGCTGTCAAAGTATATGACTATCCCCCGGGTGCACCAAGCACTCCAAGTGATGGCATTTTAGAGGAGTCTGAGCATGGAGACGGCGAAGAGGCCGGCTCTAGGTCGAGCTCTAAGGAGTTAAGCTCACTGCAGGCGAATGGGGTTCATGTGTCTGCCAGGGATAGGGCAACAATGGAGACGGGCCTTCCTGCCTTTATAGATGAACGCCCCTTGGGGGATAGATGGGGAATTAGAGTGCCGCCTGCTGAAGGCACAATTGCTTGTGAAGACGATCACCAAAATGCTGAAAACTACTTTGGTTGCTATGAGGCGGCATTCAAAGCCGACCTTCGCTTCCCCCTTCATGACATAATAAAAGCCATTTTGAGGGGGTATGATATAGGCGTATGGAAACTTACCCCCAATTCGTGGGTGAACATTCTTAGCTATATCGTCGCCTGTGAGATGCAAAACTTATGCTCGGTAGGGAGGATTTTTCCCATATGCACTATTTGAGTTGTGCCCTAGGCGGCTAGAGGGCGTGGTATACTTTGACCACGCATCCGAAATATTTGATGACGCTTGATAAGCCATCAAAATGGACCAATTGGAGGAACAAGTTTTATTTGGTTTCCTCTCCCAGCCGGCGTGATAACCATGAGCTACGCTGTTATAATAAGAATCCTGATCTTCTAGGCAAAAAGTGTGCCCTACCGCGTGTCCCAGACGAGGGTTGGACACAAATATTAGAGCTGAACTTTTTTAGGACCACTACTATGCCCTTCGAAGACGACACAAAAATAATTGTACCCAAGAACTGGGTACCCTATCTTGACCGGTTTAAAGACGAGGCGTTCCTTTCTGCCTGCGGTCTTAGCACCATGTTTGATAGATGTACGTAAACCACCATTTAGCACTTTAATGTCGGTTCTATTGTTTTTATGTTATTTGCTAAAGATTTGTCGAACAGTCGGTGTCTTTTGCAGAAAAAGGTCTAAACATGGTTGATGTTGAAAAGACACCTGCCAGGTCTGCACCCCAAATCAGGAAAGCAAACTTGGAGAAAAAACAGGCCCAACTCGCAGCCAAAAAGGATGGGGTAAGTTCTGCCTCCCCCTTTGACTTGTTCATTTATATGTTTATTGTGTTGAGACGATAAAAGACTGACTGTAACCCATGTGTTCCATTTTCCAGATTGGAGCAGGAATCCTCCAAAGTCCATCTCAAAGATGCTGAAGCGAAAGCCGGAGGACACTGCAAAAGGCTCCTCCAAAGCCAAGAAAGTGTTGCCTACTCAGACGGCATCTACTCTTCCGTCTGGAGGAGACCGACCAACTTCTGCACGCAAGAGCCTCAAAAGCTTTGGCCCGGGCATCGATTTGGTCAGCAAAGAGCCGGACGTCCCAAGGGCGTCTAAGAGTGGCGTGCCACTCAATGCTGCATCCGGTTCTACAGCGGCTGGGGGTGACCTGGTCCTTCAACCAAATCCCCAAGGTACAGATGCCCTTTCGAACCCCCATGGCCCCTTAGGCCCATGCGGATCAAATCTCAGTCTTAGCAGTCAGGTTATTCGTCCAGCAGCAGGCGGTCTATTGGTGCCACTTATGCTGCTATCTCACAATCTCTTCTTATTGGTGCAGATGCTTCTCCAAAATGGCCAGACCTTCAACAATACTCCAAACAGATGCTGAGGTCCATCACCCGGTCATAAAAGGAGTTGGTCCCTAAGTTGCATTAGGTCAAACAGGATAGTATTACCGCCTTACTGGAAGAGGTAACTTGTCTTCAATATTTCAAATGCCTCTTTTCTTTCTTTTTTTTTGATTTTTTTTTGAAAAGATACCAGTTGAGTCATTGCTTTGCCGCTTGTACTTTGCAGGCGATGCTGAGGATGGAAGGGCTTAAATCTTCGTTTAACAAAAAACAGGAGGAGGTACGAGACGCCAAAATCCGAGCGACTAAGGCTCTTAACTTTGCTCATTATCGAATTATAATGAATGATATTAAGTCTAAAGTGGAGAAGAAGACACAGGAGTAGATCATCAAGGAGCTGACGGCTGCACTAGAGACAGATAATAAGAAGACGTCTGACCTAGAACTTGAGCTCAAAATGCTCAGTCAGACCTCAAGGCTTTAGAGGGGGCTGACAAGGAGAATACTGAGCTCCGGTCAGACGTTAATCGGGTCAAGGATAAGATGGCCTGGGTGCATCACGACCACAAGGCTGCTCTAGAGGCATACTAGGAGTGGCTGATAGCGGAGAACGAGAAGGACTGCAGGAGCGGATGAAGATGGCATGGCACCTCGTCCATCCGGACTCCGACTAGGACTTCTTTAGTCCGAGGTATAAGTACGCCAGCGAGGTGTATGATGCCTAGACCTTAGGATTGGAACTGTCGCCTCCATTTGATGAGTGGGCCGGTATCGAGGAGCCTTCTGGGGACAAGCAGGAAGATGGTGAGGAGGAGCTTAATGGGGAGCAGGAGGATCAAATGCCGGTTAACTCAACCCTTGCTCAGCCGGGTCAAAAGAAAGGTGAGCTCCCCTCTCGCCAGGACCAGTTCGTGCCCCCGCTCCAATAATCTTAAGCTTTAGGTTTTTCTTCCCGGTCTTGAGCCGTCTGTATTTTTAGCCTGTGCGCCGAGTAACTGTTGTAATTTTTCAACAATCTTCTTATTTGCCCGGACGTGGGTCTGGTTTGACAATTTCTTTCCCGGCTTTAAGGTCGGGTTTTATTAATGAAGTAGCCGACTGAGTCGGTTTTGTCTCAATTTGAGTAGTTCAATTTTTTCAATTTTGCCTTTTGCATTTTTACTATATATGCTTTGATTTTTGCCTGACTTATTTATTGAATGCGACAACTAACAAACTGTCTGGCCTCCTGCCCCTAGGCGGCTTTGTGGTTGGTTTTAAAAAAGTTGATTGATTGACTTAGGAATTTTTGATACTTTAAAGAGTATGAGAAGTTCCTTGGTCAATCAATCACTACCGTGATTTCCCTAAGCCAAGTACACAGTCGTCCATAGTCCAGGCGGTAGGAGGCCGTCTGATATCCCATAGGGAAGGTGGCAAATGGCAGCCTAATATCCCATAGGGTAGGTGGCGAATGGCCGCATGATATCCCATAGGGTAGGTGGAAAATGGCCGCTTGATATCCCATAGGGTAGGTGGTAAATTTCCGCCTGACATCCTATAGGGCAGGTGGCTAAATGACCGCCTGATACCCAGACGGTTTATGGTATCACTTAGTCCATTGGATAAGGAAAACATTTTTCATCGTCTAGGTCAAAATGATTGTGCTTTTACACCGTCTGCGTTACCCTAGAGCAATTATAGACTTTTTCAAATTATAAAATTTTAATCTAAGGTGAAATAACGGTCGGCTACCGCCTAATGTCCATAGGGTATGCGGTTTATTGTGCCGTTTAGGTTTCATGTTAGATTATTCAAATCAAACGGCTGTGAGCTAATCCTTTTTAAGGCAGTTAGTAGAGCCGTTTGTATTATAAGTTTATAGAGTAATGTACCACCCAAATGGGAGATGCTCTGTGTAAGCGAATTCACCTAGATGGGCGTCGCCGAATGTCCTACTTTTTCTGGAGCAGACGGTTAGTTTAGATTTCACCGCCTGTACATTGCACAGGAATTGTTCCCATAGGGAGACACATCTAGTAATGTAAAAGACAATAAAATTAAATTGAAAACAAAAAGCAACTTTCATTAATAAGCTTTTTATTTACAAATTTTTTTAAAAGTCTCAGAAGTAGTACCTTTTCAACTTATCTACATTCCAAGTTCTGGCTAGCTTTCTGCTGACTGGTATTTTCAGGCGGTAGGTGCTGCA